GGGTGGGATATCTCTATTATAAAACCATGAGCATTGCAATCGCTGGAATAAGCTCCAAACCCGTGAAAATGCGTTTTAAATTACTACGATTTTTGAAATGTCGACTTTCTCCCTCATCTTCTTGGCCAAAACCAAACTGGTCAGCGAAATTAACCATACATGATTTTGCCAAATATTCTGACGCCACGTTATAGTTGTCCCATTTGACGTCACGCATGCCAAATAGGGTAAAGGATAGATTTTTTACATTCTCTTTCATGCACCAAAGTTTTTGTGTGTGTGCGTTTCGTTGTGTTTCGAGATTGTGTATGTATCTTAACGCCAACCTGATTTAATTTCTATTTTACCATCTCCACAAGATTAGTTTGGTTTGGTTTATTTTGTTCAACGTCCTATTAACAGCTAAGGCCATTTAAGGATGTGCCTCCGTGTGTGGTATGTATGCGTGCATGTGTGTATGTGTGCTGGAGACGACAGGATATGTTGGTGTAATTGCCTCCTTGTGATAGCGCGGATATGATGCCGACTTTACAGTGCTACCTCACTGAAATACTATGCCGAAGGCACCCAGCACAGCTGCCCGCCCGGTCACATTATACTGACAACGGGTTAACCAGTTGTTGCCATTACCCTTAATGTTGAACGTAAAGCAGGTAACAACTACCATTTGTAAGGCCTTTGGTATGTCCCGGCCCAGGGACAGAACCCATTGCCTTCCTCACAAGGGCGAACGCTCAATTTTAAAGCCAAAAGTGAGGTATTGCCCCATCCACAAGACACTACAAAGCAGTAATTTATCTTGTATAAGTGATGAGTTATTAATTGATGATTGATTTGAACGGTACCCGAGAATGATTGCACTTGCAACTCTAAAAAGGATACAATTAAATAACTTTTGAATGATAATTAAAGGGTTGTGGAGGACACGAAAACATTGTTATACCGTGTTAGGTAGGTTAATTATTCAACTGCTTATTTTCTCTGTGTCCTTGTCCTTGTGCCCTCCTCCTCTCCCCTCTTTCTTTCAGTCTTACAGTCAGACAATAAAAAAAAAAAAAAGAACATAAACACTTACTCGACCATATTGTCTTTTAAGTAATTGTTTTATGAAATTCTGTAGACCAATAAGACAAGTAACATGTAAGTAGCTAATGGAGGATACAGTTCCTTATTGATTTATCAGTCTTTAAATCTGTCTATTTGCAAGATATATGACAAAAGTCTTTCTTTTTTTTTTTTGCTTGTTTGTTTCTTTGTTTCTTTCTTTCTTTCTTTCTTTCTTTCTTTCTTTCTTTCTTTAGGTTTTAACGTCATCGCAACAGCCAAGGTCATATGAGGACGGGTGCCTAGGGAGACACAACAGCCAGGGTCATATAAGGACGGGTGCCTAGAGAGACACAACAGCCAAGGTCATACAAGGACGGGTGTCTAGAGAGACACAACAGCCAAGATCATACAAGGACGGGTGCCTAGAGAGACACAACAGCCAGGGTCATATGAGGACGGGTGCCTAGAGAGACACAACAGCCAAGGTCATACAAGGACGGGTGCCTAGAGAGACACAACAGACAGGGTCATATAAGGACGGGTGCCAAGGGAGACACAACAGCCAGGGTCATATAAGGACGGGTGCCTAGGGAGACACAACAGCCAGGGTCATATAAGGACGGGTGCCAAGGGAAGAGACACAGCCGGAAATATAAAATAGAAAGAGAAGAAAAGAAGACAGGAAAGATAAGGAGTGATATTAAGGTACATTGTAAGCATCCTGATTAGAATATGACATATCCAATGAAATTATTTGAATACGTGCCAACGTACCAAATTGAATTTGTCCATTATGAGGTAAATCTATTGTTAGAATGATCGAAGCCGCTTTAAAATGATAATGGTTCATTAACGTACCTACAAAGCTACATCCGTATAAACCGGATATCATTTCTACATAGGTCGATTTCCAATTGATTATAACATGCACCGTTTCGTGCTAAAGGTTAGCGAACAAAGACACCTGTGAGCGTAGTCAAGCAGATTCCTTATTTCACATTGGGATGATACTAGATGGTTTAGCGTGAACTCCTTTTTGACTGGAACTTATCGGTTGTCATCCACTGATAAACAAGACAAATTCAATCAGGAATGGGTTCCGAATGTTAAAGCACCATTTTACACTACTGTGACGTCATTACTCCATCCACAACGACGTCGATTTGTCCGCAATCGTTATTTTTTTGTTTAAGTTTTCGGGATTTAAATTGAACATTTAATACGTGGTAATATCGACCAATCTTTTGCAGAAAATATAAGTTCATTTAAAAATAAATTTTAGTTACGCAATAAAAGCACACATACGTGTTTCATTGCGCGAATGGGTTTATTTCAGTCGAGCTTAAACCCTTGTAATACGTCATATCCATACGCGCAAAACACACATGCAATCTAAGGCATCAGATTGTAACACATTGTTTAGTTTTGCCTATTAATATACATCATTTTAAAATAAACAACAGTTTCTGCTCTATAAGATCTGCAATATTTCCATTCGGTGAACCCTCACCAAAAAAAGGAGGCGAAACCAGATATTGGAAAAAGGTGTTTGGTTTAGTTTGGTTTAGTATTGTTTAACGTCCTATCAACAGCTATGGTCATTTAAAGACGTCCTCCACTGGGTGCAAGATGCACGCGTGTAGTGTATGCGTGTGTGTTTTGGGAGGCTACGATATGTTCGTGCATGTCACCTTGTGATAGCGCAGAACTGATGCCGACTTTATAGTGCTACCTCACTGTAACATACTGCCGAAGACGCCCAGCAGGACACCCCACCCGGTCACAATATACTGACAACGGGCGAACCAGTCGTCCCACTCCTAAATTGATTAGCGTTAAGCAGGAGTAGAAACTTCCATTTTTACAGACTGGTATGTTTCGGCCAGGGGACAGAACCCAAAGCCTTCCTCACAGGGGCGAACGCTCAACTTTTAAAGGCCAAAAGTGAGGCATTGTCAATGGGGACATTAGGAAGAAGAAAGTTGTTTAGAAAGAAGAGAAAAGATAAGATTCCAAATTTAGTCCCCTCTTACGATCATGCGATGGGGACAGCGGGTACGATTCTTACGCCTACCTGCAGGGACACCGATCTACGGGATCACCGTCACAATCATGTGACTTTTTTCCGGGTACTCCAATTTCCGGGCCAAAAGAGTGGGATTAATATATGATGGTAAAACATGTTTCATAATAGTTGTTAAAAAATAAGGTAAATATTAAGGTGATTGCTTATTTTTTTTATGCTAGCAAATTTCTGAAACATTACTTTCAAAAAGTACTTTGTTTGTTAATATGTGACTTCTTATTTTATTTTACCTCATCTATAACACCGCGTTTCTGATTGAATGATAATGGTCACATGACGGGGCAATAAATCGTCATGTCGCCCTCATGCTCTCAAGTTTCCCTGATCAGAATTCCCTCATCCGGAGTCTCTTTAGAGTATCTACAAGAGCCGCCACAGCCTAGTTCCAAATGACGGGAGCAGACGACACCAATGGCGCGTCAACCTGATCATACCTACCATTGTGTAATTGGTTTCATTTGTTTTTTTATCATTTCGGCATAAGAAAAAATATGTTTTGTCCTAACTGTAGAAAACACGATTCTTTGTTTCTCCGATGTTAATCATGTTTCACGAGGGCGAATTTGGTCTGTTCATGCATGTGCGACGTCAGGGCACGAATATATTAAACTCATAGATTCAAATATCTAACCAAAGCAAAACGTACCTTAAGTTATAGGTGTGTAAAATAAAATGTAAACCCGATGGGGTGACAATTTTGGGGACCCGGGGTTTCAGGAATGTTGAATCCGGAGGGTTTGAATTATTTTCGATAACATTTATGTACCAAACAAAAGAGTGATTGAGTATGTCCTGTCCATCATCATTTTAAGATTATATATTCTTAGTAGGATTGAAAACTTTGGAGAAACACAATGACTGTAACGAGTCTTCTATTGATGACACGACTTTACGTCAGCGTGATACTGAATATGTCAGATGGTCAGCCACTAAGCAAAATATCGTCACAATCACTGATTTGCGATAAAATTTTGAATAAATCAAGAAACCTTGAACTTAGTGTATAACATGAAATATTTACGGATATTTCTTTCTAAGCTTTAGAATCCCCGAACCTTACCATAAACTGTAATTACGCATTGCAAACTATTTTTTTCCAATATGATAATAGCACTGATAATCATTTTTGAAAGAGAAAAAAACAACAAAAACCATTGCGGGACTTTCATAAAAATTACTAAAGTGAAAAAGCATAAAATGAGCAACAATGGCGTTCTTAGGTAAGACCATGATTCGAACCCTCGACCTTAGATTATTTTACTGTCGATTTAACCAACTAAGCTACCAGGTCGACGGAAGTATGCTGGCTCATCTGTGCTACATTTAAATATATACGAAAAATCACAGAGCAACGGGTCAGGGATCTTTAACTATCACCAGACACCTCGGATTCCGGATTTTACGCATCAGGTTAGATTTTTTTTCAATTGACGGCCGCTTAATAAAGCTGGGCTGTCGAACGGGTTTGATGATTTATCTGTATATTTGGGGACAATAAGGAGATCATTTATAGATAAAAAAAAAATAATATAAGTGTATGTTTTAGTCAACATGATTATAGAGAAATTAAGAGGAGGTGACTCTATAAACGGAAACTAGAATGCAGCGAAACAAGGATCCTTAACATTGATATGTGAAAATCATGTACGTTTAAATTGTTACAATGACAGTTCTATTTATTTGCAGTGGACCTGTTCCCTCGAAAATAAAAATAAAACATAGCGAATATTTCATGTTATAATGAAAACAGTGACATATTTTCAACATTTTTGTTTGGTATATAAATAAGGCATGGCGCCTTAAGAATGTTAAATTTCCATTGTAGTGTGTTAATTATACCTACGAGAACGTACGTGATCCAAAATTCCTAGCTGGAAATGGAACTAACCACCATGTTTAATGTGTTCCTTTCTTTTGACTCCGAAGAATGAGAGGTTGGTCGCTTGATGCGGCTGCACCTGCAGTTGAGGATCGCCTTTACCGCTCTCCGGAACCTCTGATTGCAAATTATGTAGATGGCGCAGTTTAAGCTGGAATGTGCGTGCGCAGTCATCGTCACAAAGAGATGAACCTCCATCGAAAGTCGGTCTTCGACATCGATCGCAATGATGATAGCATACGGTGTCCAGCACATCATAAACATCGTGAAGATAATGAAGAGCGTCTTAGAGGTGCGGATGGTCTCGTTCCATGCTTTCATCGAAGGATAGTGGTCATCACTGTCCAGCTTATATATGTCATTCTTCTTCTTCCAAATCTCCAAAACGATTTTGACGTTGCAAATCCCCATGACTAGCAATGGTACACCAATCAAACCGATCGACAAAAAGAGGGAATAAGAGAGAGAAGCCGTTCTATCCCAGATGCACTGGTGGTTCTTTTCATCAAATGAATGCGAACCCCATCCAACAAAATTAGGAAATTCGCAAAGGAATGCCATAACCCAACACATACCGCACATAAGCCCGGTGGTAAAGCGCGTGTACAGCTTCTGGTAGGATTCGTTGTGACAGACGTAGAAACACCGGTTTATTGTCAGCATGGTGAGGCTCAGAAAGGCACAGAAACATGCGGTCAGGCACATACTGGCGATAAAATGGCATAGCTCCAATTTGTCGTCAAAATATGTCTGACCTTTAACGACGCCTGTAAGGTAAAATAGTATCATTAAATCTAAGTCATGTTAAATAAATGAATCTGCTTAGTATCGTAACACTTCCTCAAACTCTACCCACCCCGGGTTAACTTCCACATTACGCCTCCCACGCGCTAATATCCAGACCAACAAGCCTTATCAAAATAAGTTGTAATAACTTTTTTTTCATAATTGTTGTTAAATGAATAAAGTATTTATTCAAATCAGCATCAAAAACATGAATGGAATGTTCATAGATGCAACCGAGTGGTCCTATATCAACTCATTTTACTAATGGCGTTTCTTTCGCCTTTCAGTTTAGCAATCCAATGGGAAACTTAAGTTTACATATACAGCCAAAGCTTAACTCAGCATTTATTTCATCGAACTTTGATGGGAACTTGAAATTCTGTTCAGCAGTAGGAGCCGGAAACATACCATATCCCACAACAAAAAGAAAGCTCACACGATTGAAATATGCGTATTTTCCATCACAAAATCAACGAACAAAGTCTTTGGTATGAGGAATCGTGAGAAAACTGGTTGTACCTACCAAGAATACACATGGGGTCTGCTATCCCAGCTACACACAAGTCGGCTACAGCGAGATTCATCATGAAGGCTTTCCCTATTTTGTTGACCGCTTTGTTACAAGCGCTCACCACGATGATCAGAAGGTTTCCGAACGTGCCCACCACAAACAGTACGGACATGATTGAGATATATACGAGTGCCAGGGAGAAGTGCGTTTCCAGAAGCGGTGGCAGAGAAATAACCGTCACTTCCGTTTCCGTTCTGTTGGTGCACACGTTACCAAAGCTCGTATTGTTTTGATCCGGAGATTTCGTCGTGCCGATCAAACTCTTGTTTCCGATAACCTAGATGAAATTGTAATAAAAAGGATATAGCTTAAGATAATTTCTCGAAATAGATTGAAAGGAAGAACCTATTTGCAAAGTTTGTTTGAAGTTACAAAATACCAAGCAATTTAAGTTATCATCCATCAGTTTGGTATTCTTCATGCTAAAAAAATGAACACAAACAAGTTTTTCAATTCTTATTATGTGTTCAATACAAATTTCAAAAGCCTCAATTAAAGTTAACGTTTTACCGTAAAAATGGCCATTTTTGTCCTTTTAAGATCATCATTGGAACGAAAGTAAAAAAAAATAAGAAATATCCGTAACCCCTCTGTACATGTATGTATAGATATAGCTCGTAACCACGTTTCTGTATAACGCTTGAAACGTGAAGTTCAACATAACAAATTATTGTTATGCTAAAAGTAGCGTTTCAATATATCGTAAATAATCGGTAAGTCATGAAAATATCGAAAATTTGATCTTTGCTTTTAACAAGTAAATAGTATCAGAGAATATCACATTAGATATAAAAAAAAAATATCAAATTGGCTTCAGCAATTTTTATAAATGGGAAATGGAACACGAACAAGTTTGATATTATTTTTATTATATGATTGATCTTACATTTTTCTTAAATCACTAATCCTGGCATATTTATATTAATTATTGTATAATAACCAGGGATAATTACGTGTGAACAGCTTTAAGACTACCTACGAACTAGGTTGTGATAAAGCGGTATGTGAGAACCTCGAATTATTATTGTTATTTTTATCATTATCATCAATTACACCTCATTACACAAAATAAAAACATGTTCACTTTGGTTTAACCAGGAGTAATAATTGAATCATATGATACCAGTAGAGTTATCAAGAGCTTGAATAAAGCATTACATTTGCTTATTTGAATCTCACTACATATTTGACAATGTTCATAGGGAGATATGAAAGTTTGTTTACTGACAATAAAACAATACACTGAGAGAAACAGACCCTCATAACTCTCTATACCAAGGGTAATTAGTTGCTGTTTGTATCGAAAAAGAAACATCTATCGATAATTATCGGATCACCGGGATGACAACCGATAGATAACACTGGCTCAGACAACTTTCGGATCAACAGAAAGCCGACCGATTGAAAACACTGGCTCAGACAATGTTCTGATCAATAGAAAGACGACAAATAGAAAGCACTGGCTCAGACAATGTTCTGATCAATAGAAAGACGACCGATAGAAAACAATTCCTGAGATAATGTTCTGATCAACAGAAAGACGACAAAATTATACCACTGGCTCAGACAATGTTCCGATCAATAGAAAGACGACCGATTTAAAACACTTCCTGAAATAATGTTCTGATAAACAGAAAGACGACAAATAAATAACACTGGCTCAGACAATTTTCTGATCAACAGAAAGCCGACCGATTCAAAACACTGGCTCAGATAATGTTCTGATCAATAGAAAGACGACAAATATATAATACTGGCCCAGACAATGTTCTGATAAATAGAAAAACGACAAATAGAAAACAATGCCTCAGACAAATTTCTGATCAATAGAAAGACGACCGATAGAAAACACTGGCTAAGACAATGTTCTGATCAATAGAAAGGTGACCGATAGAAAACACTGGCTAAGACATTTTTTTATCAACATGAAGACAACTTGTAGAAAACTTTGGCTCAGACAATATTCTGATCAAGAGAAAGACGACAAAGAGAAAACACTGACTGTGACATTTTTAATCAACAGGAAGACGACAAATAGAAAACATTGGCTTAGACAATTTTTATCAGCATGAAGAGACTGGTAGAAATCATTGATTAAAACATTAATGATCAACAGGATGATGACCAGCACAAAACACTGGCTAAGACATTTCGGATCAACAGGACAACAGCCAACATAAAACAATGGCTAAGACATGTCACCACGATCCAACAACTTCGAAAATCCAAATGCTTAAGAATAGACTTTCAAAACTACGCTTGAGCGGACTCGCACACCAATTTACGCACTACCGTGTCCTAGTGAATGTGTTAATCCGCACTACAGCTCTTGCTATCTATGACGTCAGATATATAGTCATTCCTGCTCCATTGCATATTCAAGGCATTTTATTTAATAGCGTTTGTATAACGTCAGCTCCATTATCATACAAAACAGATCCTCTAACAATGGTGCCAAATTGGTCACGATTTGCGTAGGAAAATTTGTTAAAACGCTCGTCCATCATATATAATGTTTCCTATCAAAATGTCATCCTCTGAGTACCTCCTTTTGATAGCATTATGTTGTGCTCTTTTGATTTAGAAGCCTTTACAATAACCCTTAATATTTTTGCTTAATTATTGGCCTGACAACTGAGGCATCTTTTGATTATTTTCTCAGATCATCAATACAATAAAGCTTTCAATATACAAAGGTGGAATTCTTGCCTATGTTACAATTCCCATAGACCCTGCCTAAGCACGGATTATCATGAAACTTTACAAGTACTTCAAGCATACCATTGCTGAACAGAAAAAAATATGTTTTATTCGAAATCACGCAAAGAGAAAAGCCCAACAGGGCCTGGCATGAATTTTACTTCCTTTTGAAACTCCCTAACATTTCTCTTACTGTATTTCATTCTATGAAAAATGCTTGTATTGATAACAGACATGCTAGCAATTAAAATGATTCCAAATTTGAATATGTCGGTAAGATAGTTTAGTTGACAGTGAACAAAAACTTACCAGATTTTCCACTTTTTCTGTTGAAATTGCTAATGTATGATATTTTAAACAAAAAGGTTCCACAGAGTGTCTCACTATAATATTCTATCAAAATTTATTTTAACTATCTAACTATCAACTATCAAAAAATATTGAAATTACACACCGGCAAAGTGTTTTTTTCCATACTATTGAATCTCTTCAACACAAGCTTGCATTTATCTAAATTTAGGTCACAGATGCACACCATAACGTTTTACTGTCATTATATGCATAACTTGTATCAATATCCATTAATTTGATTTTGTTATACTACCTTAATTTGCCTACTACTTGTATTGCATTTTGGAAGAAAACAATCAGTGATAAGTTTATTTCCATACTTCTGTATCAATCACCCATCGTCCCATAGCTTAGGGGGAAGGGGGTGGCAATATATAAATGATCAGTGCACTAGCTAGGACTGGGGCACACATCAAAGAACTTCAAAATACCAGTTTGACTCTCTACCTATTGGGCTAACGGAGACAATACCCAATATCAGCGAACAACTGACTTCTTAAAATTAAACACCCCTTACAAGATAATTCTGATGAAGCTTGCTTTGAAGCATTTCCCAGAAAGTATAATATACAAGTAGTATGTGCGCATACTCCAACAGTTCGCTTACCAGTGGGACAAGTACAGTAACAGTATTTAATATAATCTGTGGAATCTTCAACATCATACTGAATCGAGACATTGTATTTTGTGTGTGATTTCTTCAAGTGTAAGACAATGTAAAGAAAATTTAATAAAGATGAAAGAGAGTGAAGTCATAAGATAATAAAAAATAAAAAATGAAATAAACAAGCAAGGCAGCCAGACAGCGAATGTGTGTTGTGAGCAAAGGGTAATGTTATGTCTTTTGTCAACAAGATTTTGTATATACTGGAGTGGGTTATGATGACGATGATGATTATGTTGATGATGATGAAATGTTTTGATGTTCATGATGATGAAAGCGATGATGATAATGATGATGACCGAACATTGTAGATGATGATGTGTTGTTGATGATGTCAGATGATGGTTTATGATGATGATGTCAGATGATGGTTTATGATGATGATGTCAGATGATGGTTTATGATGATGATGTCAGATGATGGTTTATGATGATGATGTCAGATGATGGTTTATGATGATGATGTCAGATGATGGTTTATGATGATGATGTCAGATGATGGTTTATGATGATGATGTCAGATGATGGTTTATGATGATGATGTCAGATGATGGTTTATGATGATGATGTCAGATGATGGTTTATGATGATGATGTCAGATGATGGTTTATGATGATGATGTCAGATGATGGTTTATGATGATGATGTCAGATGATGGTTTATGATGATGATGTCAGATGATGGTTTATGATGATGATGTCAGATGATGGTTTATGATGATGATGTCAGATGATGGTTTATGATGATGATGTCAGATGATGGTTTATGATGATGATGTCAGATGATGGTTTATGATGATGATGTCAGATGATGGTTTATGATGATGATGTCAGATGATGGTTTATGATGATGATGTCAGATGATGGTTTATGATGATGATGTCAGATGATGGTTTATGATGATGATGTCAGATGATGGTTTATGATGATGATGTCAGATGATGGTTTATGATGATGATGTCAGATGATGGTTTATGATGATGATGTCAGATGATGGTTTATGATGATGATGTCAGATGATGGTTTATGATGATGATGTCAGATGATGGTTTATGATGATGATGTCAGATGATGGTTTATGATGATGATGTCAGATGATGGTTTATGATGATGATGTCAGATGATGGTTTATGATGATGATGTCAGATGATGGTTTATGATGATGATGTCAGATGATGGTTTATGATGATGATGTCAGATGATGGTTTATGATGATGATGTCAGATGATGGTTTATGATGATGATGTCAGATGATGGTTTATGATGATGATGTCAGATGATGGTTTATGATGATGATGTCAGATGATGGTTTATGATGATGATGTCAGATGATGGTTTATGATGATGATGTCAGATGATGGTTTATGATGATGATGTCAGATGATGGTTTATGATGATG